CCACCAAATAAAAGATAATGAGTTGCCCAGGACAGGACAAATGGACTGTCTGAAAATAACTTAAAGGCCAGTTTAAAAAAAATGTTTACCACCATTTAGATTAGCTCTGACTCTGTGGTTCTTGTGGGCCATAGTAACTCTGCTGGTTAAGAAAGTATACACAGTGAGGGAATTATGGCTCTTCTAGAGGCATGGCCTCTCAAGGTCAAAGAGCTCGTTAGGTTTGGAGTTAGAAGGCCTCCATTCCAAACCTGGCCTTGTGGCTTCTTGGAGCGCTGTTGTGAGAAAAGCTTTTTGTAATCCCTAAAAATGCTGTAGAAACAGGAGCCATTGATTGGTTTTAAATTAATAGTGAGCTGTAGGAATTGGGGGAAAGTCTTCCAAGGGCTAAGCCTTGGTTTAGGCCTGCTTGACATGTTCACTGGGAAGAAAGACTGGTCACTAAGGGCTGGATTCTTCACCAACTTTGAAAAGAAACTTATCTTGAAATGGTTGGTTTTAAATGGATAGCAGAGCTGAGTTTGGAAACCTATTATGTTCATCCCACAATGACAAACCCTTCTTTTATGATACCCAACCTCTAATCCTGCGTCACGCTGCTTTATTCCATGAGTGGCAAAGCAGAATGACCCAAAGTAGGATAAAAATATAGGAAGAGGGATTTTTGACCTTTTGTTATGAGGGAGGTTAGGCTCACCCAGTTATTTCATTGATACAGGGAATTCCTGGTATAGAAAAATCTTCAGCAATGCAAATAAGCAACTCATCTGTAATTTGTAGCCTTAAAGAGTTGGCAGGTGTCACTAAGAGTTTAAACGACTGGCTTATTGTCACATAATCAATATGTATCAGAAGCAAGATTTGAACTCAGGTCTTAGTGACAAAAAAGAAAAAAATTATCTATACTTGCTGCTGCCTATTATTAATTACACCTTAGTCAGCAAGCATAAAAAAAGGCAAAAGACAATCCTTGCTGTCAAGGAGCTCCCAGTCTAACGAAGGAGACACCATGCAACGATGACTATGTCTAAAAGTACATTTGTTGTTCTGTTGTTTCAATCATGTCTGACCCTTCATGACCCCTTGGGGGTTTTCTTGGCAAAGATACTGGAATGGTTTGCCATTTCCTTTTCTAGTAGATCCAGGTGATCCATTTTGTCAGGCAATCAGAGGTTAAGTGACTTGCCCAGAGTCACACAGCTAAGACGTGTCTAAGGCTGGATTGGAACTCAGGTCTTCATGACTCCAGGCCCAGGGTTCTATCCATTGAGCCTCCAGCTGCCTTTACAAAAGTACCTAACAACATAGAAAAATGTCACTTTCCTTTTGTGACTTCCACCAACTAATCTACTGAAACTGAGTGAAAGTTCTCAATATGGCTCCCACTTCCCAAATCTGGTAACTTCATTCTCGGTGAACTCTATAGTATTTGACAGTTGATCCTTTCCTTTCTTTATACTACCTTCCACCTCTGGCCTCAGCATCTTTTCAATCAGCTGGTTCTCCTTCCATCTCTCAGTCCTCAGTTTACTCTGCTATGTTTCTCCTCTCAGGGAATGTATGACAAGGAAAAAGATGAGCCAGTACATGGCTAGACAAGAAATGGCCATCAGTATTTAGGCAATATCAAGGGATGAAGATAGATATCCCTAGTGTACTGGGTGATACCCTTTCATTTAGGCTAACAGAGGCAAACAAATGGCACCAGAGGAAGAAAGCAATAATTCTGGTCTCCTCCCAGAAAGGTATATTGAGCTTACCTCTGCAAGTCAATTGGAGTAGGGTCCTAGGGTCAAGTCTCCTCTTCCACCTCATGCTCTACCCTGCAACCCTCAGGCCCAAGCCATTTTAGGGCCTGGGGGACAGAGAGAGGCTTTAGTGGAATTGGTTGGGGGGGGGAAGTGATTGAATAAAGTGATTGAATAAAGGTTTGAATAAAGGGGAATTGAGTTGAGCTTGGTTTCAGGGAGGCCTTAGGGGGATTAGCCAGAAGGTGATTAGATAAAGCAGAATTAAGTAGAACACTTCCCCTGCCCCCCTCTGTTCTCTTGGGGTTTCTACCTTAGAGGAGAAGAATTAGAGCAGAGCTGTGGGGACCCGAAGCCCTCAAGGAGGGAGGGAGGGGTTGTGGTAATCCTCAGAGGAGGGAGGGAGGACAGGAATTTCAGGCTTTTGTCCTCTCTTAACTGGCCATTCTATTTAACTCTCTCACCCCCTACATCCACTTTAGGCCTTTAGTCAGACTATGCTCGCTCTCTCTCTCTCTCTCCTCTCTCTCTCTCTCTCTCTCTCTCTCTCTCTCTCTCTCTCTCTCTCTCTCTCTCTCTCTCTCTCTTTCTCTCTCTCTCTCACTCTCTCTTCTTTCTTCTCTTTCTTCTCTTTCCCCACTCTTTCCTAAAGTACAGATTTGACCATGTTACTCCCTTGCTCAGTAAACTTGTTTGGCTCCCCATTCCCCTAGAACCAATCAGAAACTCTTCTCTTTGGTATTTATAACCCAGCTTCTTCCCATCTTCCTAATCTTCTTACATATCCCTCTTTTCTGTTCACACAAGCCTCCTTACTTTACTGTCCTCCCATGGGCCCCTCCATCTCCCATCTCTGCCCTCCGTGCCTGGACTGCTCTTGCTCTCCACCTCTCCTTCAAAATCCCTGGCTCCCTTCCAGACTCATCTCTGACCTTACCTTTTCCAGAAGGCTTGTCCCGATCCCCCACCTTCCTCTCTTAGGTCACCCTCCATCTGCTGTGACTCGTCTATCCATGCCTATTGATGTTCATGTCTCCTCCCTTAGAGTGTAAGCTTCTTGAGAATAGGGCTATTTTGGGTTGTTGTTGTTTAAATTCCCCCCAGTTTAGCAAGGTACTGTGTACCTAATAACACTTCAGAAATACTTGTTGATTGCTTGAGTGATCCTCTTCTCATCTTTGTCTTGAGGTCACTGAGTATGAAAGTTTCTGTGTCTTACTTTGGAAAGTCATATGGAATGCTTCTTAGAAATGTTCCCCCTCTTCATCCTCATGAGCCACAGTTGTTGACACACAAGTTGCCGTTATCTACTTGGTGGCCTTAAAACTTCTCCTCGTGGGCCCCAGAACACAAGATGGCGGCCATCATGGTAGCTTTCAATATGTTGCTCCCTCATTGGACCCATAGGGAGTCATTGGCAGCCAAGAGGTGGTCATTGGCCCATATCTTTACCAAATATCTTCTAAAGGTCAGAATCAGAGCCCTCATGCCTCGCTCCCAAGGTCGTTGAGAATGGAGACCAAATGTGGGACAGTCCTTAGACCACATCACTTATAAAGGTCCAAACAAGGCAGAGGTAGACAATTTCTAAGAATGAAAACATTCCAAAATGTGTTTGCTATAAGAATTCCTCAGACCCAAATCTAAAGTAGTAAGTGCTTGACTTGATTTACTGTATGTATTTATCTGTGCTCATTGTGTATCCCCCTTGGTAGAATGTAAGCTCCCTGAGGGCAGGGAAGGTCTCATTTTTGTATTGGTATCCATAGTACTTAAAAAAAGTGTCTGGCACATAGCAGACATGTAATAATTGCTTGTTGAGTTGAATTGAATGAACCAAAGCAGCCAATGTGAAAAGAGACTTGAAATTATGCGTACCAGACAGAAGGAAATATGTATAGACTTCCTCTAGAGTCATTCATGAGCTAGGCAAGTTCACACCCTGAGAAATACCTGGTGTGGTCCCAGATACACTTAGTAAAATAAAAGGTCGTATGGGGCTGTGACCAGCCTGCTGGAGCTGGAGTCAGAAAGACCAGAGTTCAAATGAGACCTCACACACTTATAGTTGTGTGACCCTGGAGAAGTCACTTCACTTTTGTCTGCACTTCTGCCTCATCTGTGAAATGGGAATAATCATAAAAATAATGATAGCACTTCCCTCCCAGGGCTGTTAGGAGGATGCAGTGAGATAATGCTTGTAAAACTCTTTGCAAACCTTGAAGAGCTATATAAATTGATAGGCCCTGTTGTTGTTGTTGTTATTTTAAGGAACACCCTCCTGCTCAATAGCTGCCCAAGGATGTAGAGGTTCCTTTGGTCTCATGTTAATGTGGTTCAATGGGAAGGTCTATAACTCAGAGCAAAAGACCAGTATGGGACCTCTGACAACCTTTTACCTCTCTGGTCCTCAGCTAGATTGTTGTGAGCAAAGCACTTTGCAAAGCAACAAAGCTGATTGCAAATGTGAGCTGTTATGTTCATAGCATGATAATCATAGAATCATTTGCGTCGTTTACAGGATGCTATGAGGTTTGCGAAACGCTTTACAAATATTTTATATTCTGGGACAAACAAAGGACAAACAACCCTGGGAGGTAGATGTTATTATTAACCCCATTTTATAGAGGAGAAAATAGAGGCAGACAGATGATATGACTTGCCCAGGATTATACAGCTAGTTAGTGTTTGAAGGGGGATTTGAACTCAGGTCTTCCTGACTCCAGGTTCAGTGTTCCTTTCATTGAGCTACTTAGCTGCCTCATGGACCTAACATGGGGCATAGTCCCCAAACAGATTGCCCTAAAGGCCTATTTAAGCTTGGGAAACTCAGTATTGACCAGACCATAAAAGCATGCATTTAGAGCTGGAAATGACCTTTGGGGTCATCGAGTCCAACTACCCCATTTTACAGATAAGGAAATTGAAGTCCAGAGTAGAGAAGTGACTTGCCCAAGCTCACACAGCCAGTAAGTAATTAAGGTGAGGTTCGAACCCATGCCTTCTGATTCCAGACCCCAATGTTCCTTTCCATTTTACCACACTGTCATAAGAACATTTTCAACCTGAACTCATGAATCAGTATTCTTTATGCAAGGTCTAGCCTTGATAAGAGGCAATGTAAGGTATAAATGGCTAAATAAAGAATTTAGATACTAGGTCTTAAGTGGATATCATCCCATTAAAATATGTATTTACATTTTGCAAAGTCTGATAAAAGTAGCAGTTCTAGCAACTTTGGGGTGTACTCACTTTGCACATAGTTGGCTCACCATTTCTAATTTTGACATTCAGTTGATGACAATTTCATTTGAAAGGGCTGGAAGGATCTCATTTTAACACGTCATCTTCTGGACTTTCAGGAAACAGAACAAGCAGTAACCCATTTCTTTCCTAATGTAAGATAAACAATCTTTATTCCCAGTGCATTACATTCTGAGGGTTCTGATGAAATTAAGCCTATCCAACCATTTGTTGTTATTGTTCTTTTCAAATATTGTTTCATTCTTTTCTCATCATACTTACTCCTGGCTCATACATATTCAGTAAATGCCCTTTTCGGTGTCATTTTGGCAAGAATGTTATTGAATATTATCAGTTTCTGACTTCAGCACACTCACCCAATTCCTGATTTTGTGTCTCATCTCAGCTAATTTCCATAATGTTCCCACTGATCTTAAACATCAACATTAAAACAGGAACATCACAGATATGATTCAAGTCTCCCATTTTGAGTTATCTCTCATAGTCATAATGTTTGGAACTGAGCTTGTTTCTGCTTTAAAAAAAATAAACAATTTCATTTGAACCTGATGCCTGCAAGAATGAAATTTCCCATTTGTTCTTCCTTCCACTCTCCTTTTGTTATCAACTGCAGGTGCCTTCCAGTTAATCAAGCAATAAATCAAGAAGTATTATCTTTATTAAGCACCAGGCACTGTTCTAGGGTTGCCCTCACGGAGCTTACACTCTGTCAATATCTATATGTAAGAGTAGTGCCCTTTCAAGGGCTACTTTCCCCAGTGCAGCCTCAGGCACAACAGGGGCACTGACTTTTCTTCTCATATTTTTAGGGGAAACCCTGAGAAACTAAGGTGTTTTTAGTAGTGTTCATGAGCCCCTATCAGGCATGCTATTAAGTATTAATTAAACCAATTAACTACTTACCAGCTCCCCAGTATCAATTAATCAATTAATTGGGGGTTATTTTTATTTTTAAAGCTTTTTGATGTTTTTGTTTTTATTTTAAAAACATTTACCGATTATCCCCTAATCTGTGAGAGATCTTTTGTAACACAGTAAAACAATTGAGCAAAAACATAACAGCACCTCATCAGAAAGTGCGTGCTGTCCAAATGTATAGTGCCTTCATTTTTCAATTTTTTTTTTAATTAACAGAAAGCTTTTTTCTTTTCCTTCTACTCCATTAGAAAAAAAGAGATGAAAGATAAACAAATTCCTGGTAGCAGACCTGCATAGTCAAGCAAAACAATTTCCCTAATTGGCTGTATACAAAGAGATACGTCTCATTCTGCACGCTAAATACATCATTTCTCTGTTCAGGGGGAGAATAGCCTGTTTTATCCTGGGTCCTCTGGAATCATGAATGATCATCGTATTGATCATCATTTGCTTTCAAATTCATTTGTCATTGTAGTGCTGTTGGTGTACACATTGTTCCCCTGGTTGTGCTCATTTTATTTTTTGTCAGTTTAAGTTATTCTTCTGATCATTTCATTCTGCAATAGTTCATACAAGTCCTTGCATGGCTCTTTGAAATCATATGAGTCCTTGTTTCTTATAGCACCATAGCATCCCATCACCTTCTGACTGACTGACATTCATATACCACAACTTATTCAGTCATTTCTCCATTGATAGCCATCTCTTTGGTCTCCCACTTTTTACTACCACAAAAAGAGTTACTATAAATATTTTTGTGCATATAAGAACTTTTGTATTTCTTTGATCTCTTGGGTATAGACCCAGCAGTGGTAGAGCTGGGTCATAGGGAGTGCACTGTTTAGTAACATTTTGTGTCTAATTTTAAATTGTTTTCCAGAATGGCTGTACCTATTCATAGGTCTACCAACAGTGCATCAATATGCCTCTTTTCCCATAGCCTCTTTAATATTTATCATTTTCCTTTTTGATCATCATTGCCAGACTGATAGATGAGAGGTAGAATCTCAGAATTGTTTTAATGTGTATTTCTCTAATTAGTAGTAATTTGGAGCATTTTTCCATATGACTGTAGATAGCTTGGGTTTTTTCCCTTGAGAACTGCACAACTGTAGCCTTAGACAATTTATCAGTGGGGAAATGGCTCTTATTCTTATAAACTTGAATTAGTTCCCTATATGTTTTGGAAATGAGACTTTTATCAGACAAACTTGTTTGCAAAGATTTTTTCCCCAATTAATTGTTTCTCATTTAGCTTTGTTGGATTTGTTTGTGCAAAAACTTTTTAATTTTATCTAATCTCAATTATCTACTTTATCTTCTATGATCTTCTCTCTACCTTTTTTGGTCACAAACTTTTCTTCCTCCCAGAGAGCTAGCATGTAATTTTTTCCACGTTTCTCTAATTTGTTAAGGCAGATGACTTTTTATATCCAGGTCGCATATGCATTTAGGATTTATCTGGACATAAGGTGTGAGGTGGTAGCCTAAATCTTATTTTTTCCATGCTGCTGTCCAATTTTCCTAGCAGTTTTTATCAAATAGTGAGTCCTTTATCACAGTAGCTGAGGTCTAGATAGATAGATACAGATATATATTTCTGGATATATGTATATAATATACATTATTACAATTACAGTATACATTACCTATGTATATAATACTTAGGTACTAGGTATATTTGCTTCTGTATATTGTATATCCAATCTGTTTCCTTGATCAATCTCTATTTTTTAACCAGTACCAAACTTTTTGAGAATCACTGCTTTATAGAATTGTATGAAATCTGATGCTACTAATCTCCACTTTTCATTATTTCCCTTGAGATTCTTGACCTTTTGCCTCCATATGAATTTTGTTATTATTTTTTTTAGTTCTACAAAGTAATCCTTTGGTAGTTTGATTGTGGCATTGAATAAGTAAATAATCTAGTCAATATTTTATTATCTTGACTCTTCCTACCCATGAACAAATAATATTTTCCTAATTATTTAGGTCTTTCTCTATTTCTTTAAACAGTGGTTGATAGTTGTATTTATGTGGTTTTCATGTGTATCTTCGTAGCTAGACTCCCAAGCAAGTTATACATTCTGTAGTTGTTTCAAATGGAATTTCTCATCCTGCTGGTTTTTATTGGTATTATACAGTAACGCTGATGATTTGTGTAGATTCCTTTTGTATCTTTCAAATTTGCTGAAGTTATTGTTTCCATTTATGTTTTAGTTGACTCTTTTGGTTCTTAAGAACACCATCATATCATCTGATCAAATCTAATTGAATAAGTTAACATATAGGAAATGCTTTGCAAATCTTAAAGCACTATGTGAATGCTAGCTATTATTATTATTATTATTATTATTATTATTATTATTATCTATAAAAGTTGTTAATTTTGCTACTTCTTTACCCGTTATCATTTCCTGAATCTCTATTTCTTCTCTTATTGTGATGGCAAGCATTTCCCATACTGTGACAAATAGAAGTGGTGACAGTGGACATCATAGTTTTGCCCTGGATTTTTTGGGAAAGGATTCTAGTTTATCTTCCATATGTTTAATGAATGGTAGCACTTGTTTTTAGTGATGTTTATTTATCATTTTAAGCAAAGGTTCATTTATTCCTATGCTTTCTAGTGTTTTTTATAGGAAGGGGTGTTGCATTTTGTTAATAAGCCTTTTCTGCATCTATTGATATAATCACATGGTTTTTATTTATTTTGTTATTAATATAGTTAATTAAGCTTATAGTTTTCTTAATATTGAACCAGCTTTACATTCCTAATATAGAATCAGGACAGAGGCTGTGTGAGTAGAAAGAAGTGATCATCATAGAATCATCCTGTCCAGACCTTACCTTGAGCTTAATTGGTATTTGTCATTATTTAGAAGTAAGAGATTATGTTGGGCAAAAGCCCAGTTATTATTTTTTTAGATATTAAAATGTGTTGTATTATTAATGTTGGGGGGGAAATTTTAAACTGTCCTCAAATCGAGTATCCATTCAATGAAATCTTTAGATATTTTGTACTGGTTTTGAGATGTGAATGTGGTTTTTAAATTAACATGTTCGATGAATAACCAAATAAAAAGGAAAATGAATAAAAGAAAAGCAGTATCCAATCAAACTTAAGCCAGAGAACTGAGGTCTTTTTATAGTCACTAATTAAAGGACTCGTATATGACAGGAAAATCAGACATGGTGAGTGGTAAATAGCCCACCACTGAGTTCATTCAACTCTCCCAGAAGCTTAAAATGGCCCTGCAATTTGTCCCCCCAGGAGCTAAAGCTCAATTCTCCTGCAGCTGGCTGCCAGGGAGGGGAAACTGATGATTCTGTAAGCGTTACCTGTCCCTATTCTTTGCAGCTGGCCCTGTGTGTTGGACATCAGTTCTATAGAAGGACTTTACCTGAGGGAGGACCACCCAAAGCAACTCTGGGTCTTACAGGAATCAAATTTAGGGGTAAACCACAAAGTTTGAAGAGAAAAGGGAGGGATTGTTCCAGGAAAGGGAAAGGAAGGGAGTGGGGGTTGTGAAGCCAATCAAAGAACAAGGAGGAAAGAAGGATAATGTAGCCAATAGAAGAGGTAAGTGAGGCAACAATTGAAGTGATAGAACTAAGAGGGATCATGTGAGTAGAAAGGCATTATGGGTAGGAAGCAAGGAAAGGAGGAAAAGAACAAAGAGGAGAGAAACAGAAATTGTGGCGGAAGTCAGCCCAACATCAGATTTTCCATTCACTAATATGATCATTTACTGACTAATGTCCATTAATGAACATAAAGAACAACTATAAAGAGCCTAAATTGATGACTAGAAATAGAAACTATAAATAAATCTCATCGAGGACATATATGACTAGAGAGGGAGGAGGACCAGTCATGTAGCAAGAGTGAGGCATAACTGATGGGCAGCCCTAGCCTTCTGCTGGTATGCAGGAAACATTAAGAGGGCTGCACACACTGGATATAATAGCCCATGCCTACATCCCTGGGCCCAGGGAGGCAGAGCCTGGCCAAACTCTCGACCTCAGGAGTCCTAAGGTGCCAGGGGCTATTCAGATTGAGTGTCTGCACTATGGTCAGCACCACAGGGGTGAGCCCTCACTAGTGGGGAGCCATTAGATTGTCTAAAAGAAGGTAAACTAGCCCAGGGTTGGAAATGGAGTAGGTCAAACCTGTTCTTCTAGCAAGGGAGAGATAGGGAGACTGAGTTTTTTTGTTTGTTTGTTTTAAAGAATTAGAGCATAGTTTCCAGCCCATTGGGTAGATCCTACCATGTGTATGGTAGCACGTGGACAAGAATCTTAGTGGTTGAGAAGATGTGGGTAGGTTGTCCTCTCGAAAGGCAGCATGGCATAATAGGTGAGCACATTGGACTTAAGAGTAAGGAAGATGGGGGTTTGGATTCTTCTTCAGATACTTGTTAGCTCTGTGACAGCAGGAAAGCCATTCAACTTCTCTATGGCTCAGTTTCCTCACCTATAAGTAGGAGATAATTATAGCATCTACCTCATAGTGTTGTGTTGAAGGTCAAATGAGATAATGTATTTAGCAAAGCACTTTGCAAGCCTTAAAGTGTTGAACATTGATCATCTTTACCAGTAGAATGAGTGTCAACATTTGGCAGATGACAGATAAAAGCAGGGAGTATTAACCTTTTTTTCGTCATGGACCCCTTTGGCAATCTAGTAAAACGTATAAGTAGGCCTCTTCTAAGTATTATGTTTTACGTAAAATAAAATACATAGGATTACAAAGAAAGCCAGTTATACTGAAATACAATTGTCAAAATATTTTTAGAACCATCTATTAAAGTATAAATCAATATAAGGTCAGCAGCTTAGTTTGACCACGTAGTCCTTTTCTCACATTTTCTAAATTTCTAATTTCTCTCATTTCCTCACAATTCACTGAACACATTTGCCACCATCATCCCCACACCAAAAGTAGGAATTTCTGTGTTTCAGTGAGTCTCTGGGATGAGCGAATAGAAGATCCAGGCCTGAAATCCTGCCATCCTAGCTGAGCTGGGTCCTCAGGGAGCCTTACTGTCCCATTGGGTCATAAAAGGCCTAAATATTTGGTTATGAAATATTTCTCAGGGCACAAAATGATGAGTAACCAGCTCTTAACCTTTGTGGGAAAGCTGTTATTGGCTTCAAAAAAGTAAATTTTAAAAGAAAGAAAAGTTGGGGGAAGGATGAGAAATAATACAAGAAAGAAGAGTAAGAGTGTGAAAGGTCAGGGAAATGACGACCATGGGGAGAGTTTTCTTCCCAGACAGATTACATCTTTATTTCCCAGACTCCTTCAGAAATGCTATTGAAAACAGTTTGGGGGAAAAACGGACTCCTGTTTTCTGGAAGTTGATCCAACCATTTGGATGCAATGCCAGAGAGAAAGAAATATGGTATCTCCCTACCTCAAAATATTTTGGTTACAGTGGACAAATTGCCTGCTTTCCAGGCTGCTGTTGCAGAAACACCCATAACTAATATCTGTGCATTTGTTCTTCCAGGGGCAGGCTGATCTTCTGAAATATGCTAAAAATGAGACATTGGAGAACCTGAAACAAATCCATTATGCTGCTCTCTCCTGTGGACTGAATAAACCAGGCACCGAAAACTCGGACTCGGCCCCCAAGACGAGGAGGAGCCTGGAGGTCATCCCGGAAAAAGCCAACGATGAAAACGGAGAATGATGGAGCTCTCGCCTAGTCATTATGGAGTTTATAACTCTAGGACCAACTGTAGGCGCACGGGACAGACACTGGCTTTGCACTCACTAATGAAAATTCTGTTTGGAATCTTAAAGCACAACTGGAATAGTTCATTGCAGTCTATTACAACTGTGAATGTACGTAGCAATTCTGCGTGTGAAGGCGAATAAATTGTTTCAAAAGAAATTATGTTACTGGCCAAAATATGCTATATTTGTGTAACAGATGTCATAATTCAGTAACAGTGCGAAGAACAGATCATTCGTCATAGTTCCATTGAGAAACAAACTCGTTTTTCTTGAACAAAAGCATTACAGTTGGCGTGGCTTGACAAATGGTGTTGGAGGGAGCGGGGGGGGGGGGAGCCAACACATTTGTCTGGGTGTGTGATTTTCTGCTGATCCGAGGTATTAAGGGTGACAAATGATTTGGGGGGGGTATGCTTGCTGAGCCATAATTAAAAAGGAGAATGTAATTGGACGGTGCTCCCTGACGTCTCAGGGCACTCCGGGAGACCCCGTGGGGTACAAGGAAGACGAGCGATCGATCCTCAGGCCTCCATCTCCAGATGTGTGTGATTTCCGCCGGAGCGTTTCTGCAAACTTGTCTTTCGAATGTACAAGTGACCAAATTGCAAGCAACACATTGTAAATAGTTTTTCATTGTGTGAAGTGATGTGTTCACATTAAAAAACAAAGTTTTATGATATTTCTCCCATACCAGTAAAAGCTTTTAACTAAAGTTTAACTTTTTTATTTATTTTCTAGTTATAAAAAAAATGATGGCTTTGAAGAGAGAAGCCATCGACTGGGGAAGGTCCCACACGTCAAAGGCAGGACATGAATGGAGATCTTCCTATGTTCTGAGGCCAGCTCTCCATCTAGCCTATTACTTTTTTTTTTTTGAGGCAGTCAGGGTTAAGTGACTTGCCCAGAGTCACACAGTTAGCAGGTATCTGGGGCCAGATTTAAACTCAGGTTCCCACTGACTGCAAGGCTGGTAGCTCTGTCCACTGAGTCACCTAGCTGCCCCTATCCTACTACTTTTAAGAATAGATCATACCTCAGCCAAGAGCTTAGTCGACCATGTATCTCTGGGTTGTTTTGACTTCATTTTTATTATAAGGTTTTTGATGATTTTAGTTCATGGGGACTGATTGATGTCCAACCCTTCAGCCCTTAGCTCAATGCTTCTGATGGCCCAGTCAGCCAAGGATGCCATGGCCCAGTAGGAAAAGGCAGAAGGAAATCAGAAGGCTGAGAGGAGATGACACTGTTGTGTAGCCAAGTTAGGTTTTTCATCGAACAACTGGTTTTCACAAATCAGTGAGTCTCTGATCCGTTTCTTTACTTGAGACTGCATTACCACTTATAACAAACCAAGATGGCTTTTCAGTATTTTGAAAGATTAAAAGCGCTCAACACCTTCCCTGGCCCCATCTGGAGAGAATGAAGAAGGAGGGGAAAATCAGCAGTGTTCCTGATTATGTTAGAGATGTGAATTCTGCTAAGATTGAGGGATCGCCAGGGGAATACACAAGTATGCAAAGGATTTGTGTCTGTTAGCGTGGGAAATTCCTGGTACCACCATAGATCTCTCTCACAATCTGCCAGTGACTTAGGAGATGAGTCTTGAGAGTTTCCTGAGCCTCAGTGAGGCTGAGTGACTTACAACCAATTAAATCAATAAACATGTATTAAGTGCCTGCCATGTGCCAGGCACTGTGCTAAGCTCTTGGGATACAAAAAGAGGCAAAAAAGTCCTTCCTCTTGGGGAGCTTACAATCCCATAGGGAAGACAAAAAAACTATATACAAGATAAATAGAAAATAATTAAGAGGGGTTAAGAAAGGCTTCTCGTACAAGATGGGATTTGAATTAGGATGTAAAAGAAGCCAGGGAGGTCATTAGAGAGGAGGAAGGAGAGTGTCCCAGGCATGGAGGACAGCCAGGAAAAAATGTCTGGAGCAGAGAAATGGGATATCTTGACCATGGGGCAGCCAGGAGGCCAATGTCACTGGACCAAAGAGTATATGTCAGGGAGTAAGGTGTAAGAAGACTGGAAAGGTAGGAGGGGCGGCTATAAAGGGCTTTGAATGCAAACAGATGATTTTTTTATTTGATCTTGGCGGTAATAGGGAGCCACAGAAATTTACTGAGTAGGTGGGTGACATGGTCAGACAGGCACTTGAGGAAGATCACTTTGGTGGCTGACTAGAGGATGGATTAGAGTGTGGAGAAACTTGAAGAAGGTGGACCCTCCAGCAGCTATTGCAATAGTCCTGGTGTAAGGGGATGAGGGCCTGCGCCACAGAGGTGGTAGTGTCAGAGGAGAGTAGGGGACATATTCAAGACATGTTGAAAAGGGGAAATCAACAGGACTTGGCAATGGCTTGGATAGGGGAGGTGAGAAATAGTGAGGAAGCCAGGATGACTCCTAGGTTGTGAGCCTGGGGGACTATGAGGATGAGAATGCTCTCCACAGTCATAGGGAAGGTGGGGAAGGGGAGGATTTGGGGAAAAGATAATGAGTTCCGTTTGGACATGTTGAATTTATGATGTCAACCGGACATCCAGTTTGAAATGTCTGAAAGGCAGCTAGAGATGCAAGATTGGAGGTCAGCAGAAAGATTTGGGGCAGGATAGGTAGATTTGAGAATTATCAGCATAAAGATGGTAATTCAACTCACCAAATGAAATGGTATAAAAGGAAAAGAGAAGGGGGCCCAGGACAGAACCCTGAGAGACAGCTATAGTTAGAAGGTGTGATCTTGAAGAGGATCCAGCAGAGGAGACAGAGAAGGAGTGGGCAGAGAGGTAGGAAGAGAGCCAGGAGAAAGCCATGTCTCCACCACCTACAGAGTATCAAAGAGGAGAGAGTCAACAGTGTCAAAGGCTGCAGAGGGGGCAAGGAGAGAGAGGATTGAGAAAAGGCCATCGGATTTGGCAGCTGAGAGATCATTAGTAACTTTGGAGAGAGCAGGTTCGGTGAAATGGTGAGGCCAGAAGTGGGATTGTGAGGGCTCAAGAAGAGAGTGAGAGGAGACAAAGTGGAAGCACCGATTGTAGATGGCCTTTTTGAAGAGTTTGGCCACAAAGGGCAGAAGAGATATAGGATGATAGCAGGGATGGAAGGATCAAGAGAAGTTTTTATTTCTGAGGATCAGAGAGACATGGTTATGTTTATAGGCATTAGGGAATGAGCTAGCCAGACAGGGAGAGACTGAAAATAAACGATTGAGTGAGGATGACAGAGGAAGCAATCTGTTGGAGGAGACAAGATGGAATGGGATCGCTTGAGCAGGTAGGAGGGGTTAGCCTTGCTAAGACATAGGGCCACCTCATCATGTGAGACAAGGATGAAGGAGGAAAGACATATGAGTGACATGAGATGAGGAAGAGGGGAGAAGGGGCTCATGATAAAATTTGTTCTGTACAATACAAGGGAAGGGTGGGGAAGTAGGAGCCATGGGAGGTTTGAGAGATGAAAATGTTAGAAAAGCCCCTGTGCAGGGTGGGATAGAAACAAGATGCCTTCAAATATTTAAATTCAGAGGAGAAATTAGACCTTTTCTGCTTGGCCCTGAAGGGCAAAAACTAGGAGCAATCAGTGGAGGTTGTAGGGAAGCAGATTTCAACTCAACATAAAAAAAGTATAATTAGAGCTGCCCCCAATGGAATGAGCTGCCTTATAGAGCATAATAAACTTCCTATTATGGGTAGCCTTGGAGCAGAGGCCACATGACCACTTGTCAGGGATGTTTTGGGGAAGATTTCACAGATGACTTTGGCTTTTGAAATCAAGGCTAAAATCAAGGTTTCTTCCAATGATGAGATTCTATGATTGTTCCAAATTTCTTCACTATGGTCTCTCCCAGTATGCCCCACTGAAAGGAGTCAACATTATTGGCATAAATTCTTCAAATAAAGTAGGCATCACACACACACACACACACACACACACAATTGAAGTTGACACCAAAGCAATTTTAGTTTAAATTTGAATATTGTATTGATCATGTATTTTTCTTTTTTTCTTGGATAGTTGAGGCAAGCTTTTGCTAGCAATGTTCCATAGTGGACCATGTTTTTACTGTCGCATAATTGACTCAGAGACATAAAGAATATGAGATCCCAATATGCTTCTAGTTTGTTGACTGCTTTGGTTTCAATGGCCCTCTTCTAAGAAGTCATCTTTAATGTATATGTCAAAATTATATAAGGTTTCTTGAAAGATGTAATAGCAGAGACAACCTTCCAGTGCTATGGTGACGATCCCAATGGCCTTATTCAATGCACCTCTGATGTAGTCAATATCAAACAAGTGATAAAACAGGAAGAAGTATGCTAACCAAATGTGTTTATTAATGGCTTAGGGGAGAATCAGTGCATGGTACTGGTTGAGTTGGGATGGCCTTTAGGTCCTCTGGATGGGACACTGTGCTAATAGCATTAAGGGCCTGATCCTCCTAAATTAGGCCATAATCACTCAAAAGAACTTGGTGCAGCCGTCCACATAGAAAAAAACAAGTGGATGAAGATTATTGCTTGTCCAGTCAATGATATGTAGTTGAATGGACAGCCTATAGAGCTCACCAGATAGACAGATGATAGGTAGATGTGTGTGTGCATATGTACATACACATATACATTTGTGGATACATACACACATATGTATCTGCATATGTATATCTAGATTTATATACACACATATCTATCTGTATGAGTGTGTACATTTGTATGCATGTGTGTCTTGGACAAATGCAGCAAATGAACAATGAATTGAGCCCACAA